TCCTCAGCAGTAAACTTCAGGTTGACAGACTTTATCTGTGCAGTAAATCCACACTTTCAGCTCTAGCATCACCGCCACCACGCCATCCATACAAAACAGCCACATGATGTTTTGTCCGACTCGGGATCACTTCAGTGAAAAATCCTGAATATTCTATCTTCGATTTGTAAATAAAACTCTTTCGACCCGTCAAAATAAAAGTCTCGGGGAGAGGGGGTGGAGGTGTGGTGGTCCACACCCTATTCTAAGGAGTGGGGAATGTCCAGTTGACCTCGATGTAACTATCTTTGGATAAGATGAACTGGATTCATCTGGGAACCTACACCAGGCATGGACAAACTAAGGCCCGGGGGCTGTTTGCAGCCCGTTCAGCTTTTTAAACAGCCCGCCAAAAATATATCCAAAATATATATACTTTATTTATATTATCATTATACTTCTGCCTTTTCCCTGAAATACCTACGTTTCCCCAATAGATGGTTTAGAAAACGATTAAAGCATTTTAGCTAGGGATGCACCGATCCACATTTTTTCAATTTTAGGACATATGAATTTATGTATTTGAAAAATAAACAGCTTGAGAAAAAAAACAAAAACAAATCTCTATGTATGGATCATTTACTTCCAGTAGCAGCAAACAGTATATCACTGTGTGTGCGTGTGTCAATAAAAGACAAACACATACGATGGTTGTTACCAAGAAAATACATAAATTTATATACGTCTAATCTTTCCTGTTTTTCTCATGCGACAGTGCGACTGAGTTTGAAAAGCTGGAGAACTCAGTAATTGTTTGGTCACAGGTATCGATTAACAGCCCGAGTGAATGAAACACTGGGTTCTCATTTAGTGTAATGGGACAGAAAAATCTCAATTTAGGTTTTATTGCACAATAAAACACAAACTTAAACACACACTCTACTGTTGGTGTATCGGATGCATGAAAGTGTGTATTTTAATGCACATCATTAGGAACTGTTAGAGAGTAATTGTCCAACAGATTCAATCAAAAACACAAAGTCTTTGTGAGTCCTACCTCGTACAGGTCAAGCATCTGGTTCCCTCCGATGCCCCTGGTGGTTTTGACATTTTCCATGGCCAGTGTGAAGTAGATGCCCCTGGTGTCGGACAAATACAGGTTGTAGGTGTCGTTCTGGTTCCACTCCTGCACTGCTGCAAAGACCTGCTTCCCATCGGTACTCACAATGTGGAGGTCCTATGAGAGGGGACGGAGAATGAAGAGACTGGAGGTGAGGAGGCGATGGATCAGAACACGCAGACCATGTGAAAAAGGCCGTAGGATCGTGTTGATGCAAACGCAAACTTTTATATATGTATTTTGTCCTGCACCACATACTGTATCAGCCTGAGACACTGATTCATCATTAAAATATGAGTCAACTGGATGTGAATTTTCTAGTTGCCCAACAGAACTTTCAAACAGTACATATATACTTATATTTATGCAACTATTATCACTAGGGGTTACTATACATGCATAATATTATATAGACAAGACATTAGTAATATATTTATACACATTATATTAGTTATTCTTTTTCACGTCCAGTTGCCAAACAGAACTTTCAAACTTGACCATGACCTGGATGACTGAGAATCTTCATAGACAATAACTTATCTTAATCCCTCATCTTTTGGAAACTCAAATTTGAGTCTCTAGTTTGTCTGCATATTTCTTATATAGTGAGTTAGTATAATTTATTTATATATAAACAATATATTTTAGGCGTAGAAATCACAACATGATCAGAAGGTGTTTTGTATTTGCAGCGTGAGCTGACATTAGTAATACCAGTCTTTACTCTATAAGCTTAGCTTGAATACAATTTACATTTAAAATCAAAAACGACGATTCCCTGTGAACCTACCTTTGGCAGAGAATACTTGGGCAACTTAATTTGTATGAAGGATTCTCTCTTGTAGGAAACGTAGTAGGTGGCTCTGACCGAAGTAGGGACCTGTGAAAACAGGTATATTCAGACAAACAACAATCAACATAGATAAACCCTTATTAGGACGGCTGCTTAATGATCCTACTCTGAAAGACTGGTTTCTGTACCTTTAACTTTAAATGTTAATTAGACACCATTCCTCCTGAGAGGAAGGTCTGGATATAGATTCACACAACCGCCACAACCAATGAGCAGAGAGAATTGGCTGCTGGTATCTCAGCAGATTCAGCAGGTTCTGCTCATGCACATCTTCAGTAATGTAGTGTATGCCATTTTGCCGTGTATGGGAAAGTGACAAGACAGTGTTCAACAAAATGTGGTCCTCTGTTTGTTCTGCGGTCAGAGCAGGAAGAAGAAAAGACGCTTCAGAAGAAATCGGAGATTCAGGAATAAAGACGACACAAATATATGAATCAAACCCTAAAAATCGTAAAAGTCCAAAACATGAGAAACTGCTGTTTGTTCCTCCTCAACAAACAAACAAAATAGACAACGGAAACTGTTGCAGTCCAATCGCAAGACGGTCAATTCCACAGACCTTAGGCCTTTATGATGCTTCTTAAAATAATTTATACTTTTATTATTCATACGTTTCACCTTGTTCCAATGTGTTCTTCTTCATGGGACTGGATTTAGGTTCTGGCTCACATTCCCAGGACATTGACCTCCTTCAGTATCAATGCACTCAGTGACTTCACAATAGACTTTGGTAAATATCTTGTGGGGACAATCAATAGTCTCATTATTCTTTGTCAAGAGAAATCTTTAAGTTGCCTAAGTCGGCCTCGTCTGCTGTCTTGGTACAAAGTTGTCCTTAATGATCTGGACCTTTTGCAAGCACTGTGCACACCAGCTGTCGGGTGTTAGCTAATGCCGGAAGAAAACACATAGGTGGAGGAGGCTGGAGGATAGTCACCAGCCTCAAGGCCGCTGAACCCTTCAAACACACACACACACGCAGAGACAAAGTAAGGTTACAGCTTAACCCACTTTCCCTCCTATCAATAAGAAATGAATCCATTCAAGGCAAAACCTTCAAATCAAACTTGTGTCTTTGGGCTGAGGAGAAGCCATATCAGTATTAATGTTGTATGACAGTAGGAGATTCTCTCAGTGATCTTATAAGTTCTCCGACAAGCTCAGAAAAGAGAAAACAGGAGGAGAGAAGGGGAGAGAGAGAGATAGAGAGAGTGGGGGAGGAACTGCAGAAAGAACAGTCCCACATGCAATTGAGTGAAGGAGCAGGAGATCGATGGAGGGGGTAACCAGAGGCGGTTTGAACTTTAAGAGGAATTGGTAGCATTGATTTTGTTTTTTTTCCCTCAGATTCCTTTCAGGGTCTTTGGTCTGTGACGTATATGTGTTGAAATGCGGAGGAGCTGGCAGGGAGAGGGGGAGGTTTGGCTTATGTGCTTGTAAGTTTACTTGAAAGGCTTGAGTGAGGTCAAAGAGGATTGAAAGATCTTTGGTGAACAAATCTATTTCTTAGTCCCATGTGCCGTCCAGGGTGGAGAGGGAGGGGTGAGTGAGGGAGTAGATCGGTGAAGGAGAGGCTCAGGTGAGGAGACATTAAACATGGACTTTACAATGATATTTACTTTCCGATACATTTTTAACATGAGTGAATGATAAAGATTTCCTATAAATAATTAACACATACCACATTGAATCAGCTGACTCAAGTGAGTCAAACGTCTTCTACCGTTTACAGACATTTATTTTTATCTGCTCTGCGAAGCTAACATGGTCATTTGTGTACGGGTTTCCTGCTGCATCGATGGTTCTGATTGAAGGTGTTCTGCGGTTCCACTAATCATTAACTAATCATTGAGTGGGGCGGAACTCAACAACAGTCCTATCAGGGTCCGCAGTAACTATTTGGGAACCACTACCTAAAGAAGTAAATAAGGGAAATAATCACAATTTGGATGCATCCAGTATGGCAAATACTGCAGTTCTGAAAATACCAGTCAACCACATGTTTATAAGACCCTAAACAGCTGTTATGCAACATCAGCCTCTCAGGATATCGGGAAACAGATACTGTATAAACTCATAGTACAGAGCCGAAATGATGTAACCCATCTGTTCTGTACCATTTAAGGACATGAAACTACTGAACTGTGTATAATATGATGCAGCTTTTCAAATAAGGTCAGTACATTTCAACATTCCCCCCTCTCAGATTCACAAGCTATTAGCTCTAACAGGCAGATATAAAGACGTCGGTAATGTCTCTGCATCTGCTCGCTGGGATGGGAAAACACAAAGTGAGTTCAGCACAGTGAATGCAGATCAACTTCATCACAGTCAAGGTTTAAAGAAAGAAGTTACAGTAGGAGTTTAGTCATTAAGATCAAATTTCCACATTCTCTTCAAACCTCCGTCACCTTCACCTCACTTTATATTTTGTTATGTATAAAGAATGAAAAAAAAAAGTTTGGTTTTGACCTGTTTGCACCAAACTCATTTTTAGAAGCAGGTTGTGATAGATCTAAAAACAATATCTGACATGACAACAAACACATTTCCACATCTGCCCCAGGGTTTTCTCCCAGCTCCAAGTTTGGTATGTCCTCCACCTGACTTTCCCAAATCATAATTACAAGTTCACTATAGTAGTTTCACTTGAATGCAGAAATAGAAAGAGCGAGTGTGGAGGCAGAGGGTGGAGGAAAGGAGTTTAAAGCCTTCAGCTGAAGGTGACTGTTTTTTCTCCCCAAAAAGAAAACCATGATCCTGAAATAAAATAAAATAAAATAACACAGGTCAATTGTTTAAATGGGCTGCCTTCTGCTAGCAGGTATTTATGTGTTATATTAGCATTAGGTAATGCTAGAACATTTCTTTAAATGTACCTATAAATAAAAAAATACATACAGTTTTGCATAAGAGTGTGTAAACAGAATGTGTTTACATTTATACAGTATTATTTACAAAACACTAATATATGTTGAAGCTAAATGGAATTGTGTGAAGGTGAAGGGAAGTCTTAAAAGGACACAATGATAAAAACTGTTTAAATAGTTTTTAGGCTGATTATTCATGAAGTGATTCTGAAATGGGAACAGATGGGTTGTGGGTGTCTTAACTGTTTCATTTTAATCAGCTTTTTGAATAAATTTTGAAGAATTACGATTCATTAACCAGAGATATTAAATATCAGTATGAAGTTTTTAGGTCATATGAAAAATGAGAGCAATACTGTCAGAAATAGAGGAATGAATTTAAGAAAATAAAAGCTGCTCAGTGAACCTCAATTAATGAGAACTTTGTTTAGGACAATGGTTTAAAAATGTCCATTTCACAGTCATACTGTCCTGGTACAGAGCTAATGTTAGCTACAACAGTCCTGGTACAGACACCATTGATAACTACAACAGTTACCATTGATAATGTTAGCTACAACAGTCCTGGTACAGACACCATTGATAATGTTAGCTACAACAGTCCTGGTACAGGCACCACTGCTAACGTTAGCTGACTTTTAATTTGTTAAAAATATTATTCATTGTAGCTATTTAAATAGTTATAACAAATAGACTGAGGTAGGAGGAAGATATTAAGTGTACACACTGCACAGTACTGAATCTATTAATTAAACATGTACTTTTAATACAGTTAGTTTTAGTTTCTCCTAAAGAAGTCTCCATTCACCTCATTCTCTTGGTGTACAGCAGGTTCCTGGTACTATGGTGGTACTGCGTGTTCACAGTCCTACCTGTATGAATATGTAGTCGTCCTGAACCACTAGAGAACTGATGTCGATGTATCCAGGGAAAGGGTGGTTCCTGTTGGCTTCTGTGCACATCTGAGCTCTGCATGTGATGTACTGCACATCTGTCACAGAAAGACAGGAAGGACGTGTGAGAGAACCGTGACTGCTGATGGTAATGGACTATTTCATGAGCGAGGGAGTTCCCTGTCAGCCACAACCAACAATGTTAAAATATGTACAACCACTTTTTACTGTTGTGATGGAGATGGTTTGGACATGAGCTGAGGAGAAAGTGGAGATGTTCGACAAAGCATGGTGGAGATAGAGCTGCCATGAAGGAGGGCAAGACGAAGAGACTAGGGAGAAGAGTTTGGTGTGAAAAGTGCTCTGGTGAAATATTTTGGAAAATTTCAGACAAGTCTATAATTTCATGTCTAACACTTTGACCTTTTTATAAAAGCTTATAAAAGCTAATACAGAATAATATAATAATACAGCAGTAAATACAGATAAATAATATAATAATAATAAATAAATAAATAATAAATAATAATAATAAATACAAATAAATAATATAATAATACAGCAGCAAATACAGCATAACTTTGTATTTCTAAAAGTTGCACTGCGGTTTAAGTCGACTGTGAAGAACAACAAACACACGTCTAAAAGCCACAAGTCCAGGTGTCAATCACATAAATAAGAAAATGTAGATTTAGCAGGAAATTAGAATAAAACTGGAATTAAATACATTTTTAAAGGGTTGATCCAGGGTCTGTTATGTTTCATAAAATGCATTTAATATTGCACACATATTGTGTAAAATTGTGGAAGTGGCTCTAGATAATTGAAGCTGAAAGGTCTGATCCTGACATCAGTCATTCAGAGAGGAGATGGCCAGGCGTGCTAAGAATCGTAGATTTTTGTTTTAAGGGAAAGGTTAAAGGAACGGCTACAGACTTTCCTTTAGGTGGCTGTGCCTTGTACAGACAATTAGACAAACCTGCAGTATAAACCAGTTTGACTCATAAGGTATTAGTCTTAAAGTCTTTGAGCAATCTATAGACTAGACATAGTTCAGGGACAAAATTAACAAAAAAAGGAATGCATGTTTTAGTAGAATCTGCTGTCCTACCAGATGATGTCACTAATTTGCCAACACGTTTTGCAACTAACCTGACCCTACCTGTCTCTGAAATGGGTTTTAACCAGCTGTCTGTCAGCGGGTCTGCAGTGAAATCAGCCCATGTCTTATTCACCACCGTCTCTGAGCAGGATCTTCTGCATAATTTACAGGAGACCTTGGTCGTACAGCCACTCACTTACAGTGCTGACACTCAGCAGGTGAAGGGGAATAAAAGAAAGGCCACATCAATCTAGATTCAGGTGCTGGCTTTATTGATGGGGCCGACCAATGCCGCGGCCCTCAGGGACGCCTTCTGTTCTCCATGAGAAACTCTCCCCTCCAGAGACCTGTTCATTACCTCCCTCTGATGTGTATATATGTGTATACACTGTATATGTGTGTGTGTGTGTAAATGTGGAGGGTGTGGGTGGGTACTTGGGTGTTACTCACTTCCATCTGGTGTGTGAGCCTCCATGTGGACCAGATCTGGCTCCTTATCTCGGCCTGACACAGACCTGGGGGGTGATTGACAGAAATGGAAAGAATTCATGAGCTGAGCAGCAGTGAAGAGAAAGGCATTTAAAGAGGAAATTGTCCTCAGTTCAGACCTGGTTTTAACATCCATACTAAGAGATCTGGTCCCCGTGTTGACAGCCCACAGTACAGCATCCTACAGAAAACCAATTGCATGAGGTAAAGGACTGTCACCGGACCAGATGGCTCTATTCGGGCCTGTCTCTGTCCTGTGATGATTCTGAGGATGGATGGTTAAAGTAGTCTTTGGTCTGATTGACAAAACCGTGGTTTGTGGGCCTAGGCCGAGTTATTTAAATTCTGCTCTTCAAGATGAAATGTCCAAAGATATAGAAGAAGGAAGAAGATCTAGACCTGTTCTCTGCAGGACATTTACAAAATGGAAATAGTCTTTATCATCAAGTTAAAGCAGACGACAGTGTCACATGACCTCTCCCAAACACTCAACACAGGACGCAGAAGACCAGCTTCCTCGCTCACCCACTGCTCCACTGACCTTACAGTTTTAAATGGACTTTAAGGCCAGTAATATGGTCTGTTTAAAAAATCATGATGCACAAATGCGTAGGATTGGTTGTAAGGTATTCCACTGATGAGATTGATCGCTAGGGATTCTTCAATGACTGTCTCAGTGGACAGCACGTTAGACTTCTGTGGAGTCATGGTAATTCAAAGACTGTGGGTTCGAATCGAATCCCAACGAGACTTCGGTAGATTCTCCTCTGCTCCTTTACAATTCAACCTTCAATGTTACCTGTTTTCAAATCTTCTACCACGACCACGACTGTTCTTCACTCCATCACACACTTGACATTTAGAGACAAACATTCACACTCATATTCACACCTTAGGTCAGTTTAGAGGAGACAGTTCATCCAGATCATCCAGTTGTATCTAATAATTCCAATACAGTTGGGGCTCAAACTGATGCCCATCAGACTGTGAGGCAAGACTCGGTTTGGGTGGTCACCATAGCTAAACTAGTTTAACTTATTTACAACAGGTAACATTCACAACCAATCATTCATTTTATAAATTTTTACTCAGCCTTAAAGGCACATTTTTTGGAGCCACTGATTGGCTACAACAGTTTCCTGTTACTTTGTAATCTCCCTGCCTGCATCTGTGTGACTCCATCCTCCACCTTCTCGAACTAATGTACAAATGATGATCTATTGTTTACGTGGAATGTGATTGATATGTGTGTGTGTGTGTGTGTGTGTGTGTGTGTGTGTGTGTGTGTGTGTGTGAGAAGTCTCCTCAGACCGTTGAGTAGGTTTGGAGGAGGAGATCAATCTCTGTCTGCTTGAACTAAAATGGGTGGAGGAAACAGAGAGGCTGCATCATCAGTCCGTCACACAGACCTGGTTCTCAGCTGTCGATGATCATTTACTCACTCGTCCCGAACACAAGAGACGGTTGGTGGATTTCTCGGCAAGAAAATCCTAAGAAGTCACGCGGAGAGAAAGGAGAAAGAAGGAATAAAAGGAGTGGAAAGTAAAAGCTGACTCACCAGTAGAATCTGTTCGGCGTCACATGTTCATGGACGAGCTGCCATTTCCTCCCGAAGTCCATTGAGCTGTAAAGCTGCAGAAAAAAAGTTGGAGATTTTAGTCTTAGTGGAAAAATAAAACAAACATTCTTTTTCTCAGCAGGATGGCTGAACATCGCAGTCCTGCAGATTGGAGATGAGGTTAAATGTTCCATCATTTCTGCCCATAGGTGTGAATGAGACTCTCTGTGACCCTGCGTTGGACTGGTGGTAAACGTAAACTCTCTTAAAACATATTTTTGCTGTTTGAATTTTTCGCCATGAGAAGCTGTTTAATTAAAAACAGAAGTCTGGCTGCTGAGAATAAATTAATGATGAATTGTTGGGTGAGTATAAAGGAGCTGACACGCTGCCCAGTTTTAATGTGCTAATTACATTTTCTAGTTTTGGGGCAGACAATTAATAACTCTGGTGCATTTCCTGACAACAGTGATTGATGCTGTGGAAAGTCACAGCCTAATATAAGGCTGTGTTTATACACTGGTATTTTCTTGCTGTGCGTTGGCCTCATGTAGATTTCAACCCTCATGTTTTTACTTTCCATGACAGCAACTTTGACACTTGCTCTGATAAACGGAAGTAAATTTGTCACTCGCTCCAAACGTATCTGTCAGCTCTGCAATGGAATATTTATTGCAGTCATTCAGAGCGTCTGCTGTTGGAGACAAGGTGCGCATTAGCTGTGTTTTCTCTCTCTTTGCATCTGGACTGCAGGGAGAATCTGCCCTGAAGTTACGAGTACATGTTGAGAAACTTTCTAATAAATATTTCAGTCAGCACTCGCAGACCATGTGTCTGTTTGGAGTGGCTGACAGTGACAAACAGAGAGCGAAAGCAAAGCAAACCCAAGTGTGTTTGAGTGGCCTGTGTGTATACGACAGGGATGAGGTATGATCTGGGAGCAAACATTTGTCTGAACCTTTAAGGAGTGGAGCGGAGGTGAACACAACAGTGGCCAGGAGGCATTCACGCCATGGAAAATGCGGTTCCTAAGCCAGCCAGACGATACAGAGCAGAAACAGTCTGAGGATCGAACCCATCATTCTGGACAGTGACATATGAAGCCAATAACCAGCTGCAGCCTCTTCTCTCTCTGTGCATCAGTTTAATGACAGCTTACATTTTAGAACTTCACATTTGTCACAAAGTCAGCTTCGTTCAACAGTGAGTCCAAACAAACCAGTTGGTGAGTCAGTCAGTAAGTCAGTCTGTCAGACAGTCAGTCAGTCGCAAATCGATAAGTCAGTTAGTCCGTTCATCAGTCAGTCGGTTAGTCAGTCTTGGAGAGCCAACCATTCATAGCCTAATTTGTGAACTAGAAATTCACAGTGAAAGGGTGGTGCAATTGCCCTTTAGCCTGAAGAGCCACAGTTCTCCTGGTTCTTCCAAGGTGATCCTGGGTAATCACTGATGGCCTTTTGGAGGAGCACCACTTAAAACTGAAAGTAGATGCGAATATGCAAATTCTCATAAATTATCCACGTGAAATATTTACCTAAGGAAATAGACTCAGTAGGTGGCAGTAATGCAATTAGTTTGGCCTAACTGACTAACTAACTTGCTCGTACGCCATAAACGTGGCTACTAACATGACGCTTTCATGCTATGTCATCGCTAATACATTACTTATGGACTAAATGGTAGCCCTTATATAGGTATGTGCTAGCGAACAAGGTAAACACTACCATAGGCCAATGAATTACTTACAAATGGAAAAGAGCTAACTGCTAGCACAGTGCTATCCTGCTGCTGAAATGGGTGCTGACTGACATGCTGTTCATTTACGAGGGTCTACCTCAGAGACACAGCTAGCTTTAACTTTAATTATTATTTGTTACAATCTGTGACCAATCAAATATCAGCCTTAATGTTAATCATTAATGAGAAATGTTCTGACACAATTAACTGCATTAGATTTATATAAAACAATGCTCCTGCAAGTGTGAATGATGGATCAAAGAGCTTACTTAGCTCCACCTACAGACCATGGGAAGGGAGCTACACCCAAATACTATACATGTCTTATTCAAACACAGAGAGGCTAAGTTCCTTTTAGCCTTTGGAAGCTTTAATTTTCCAATGTTATTCTTACTTCATTATTATTATTATCAATATTACGACATTATTAATCCCACACTGGAGAAGACGGGAATTAAACTCACAATCGTCAGTTCAGTTTTGTTCAGATTCACAGCAGAGTCACTGCCCCCTGGTCTCATGCACGGTTTTATGCAGCACTATTCAATTTTTAACGTATACAGAATACATTTGGATTTTACATGTTGCTGTCCGTTTTTTTTTTTCTTTTCTGTTGCAGCATTTAACAGGGAATAAATCCACAGTGGGAGGTGACGCACACGAAGGACGTACAAAAGCTAAATGAGAAATACATTGATTTGGGCTCTCAAAGGAGAATCCACATACCATCCACTGAAAAATGAATTTCATCAAACCTGTTTAAATTATTTTTTTTCTTTTTCTTCCCCAGGGTGACGTGCACATGCTGCTAAAGAGCTATAAATAGTCTGGAATAAATGCACGGTTGGTCAAGATGATGTATGAATGAGACTTTCAAAATCAGCACAACCACGTACACACAGACACACACAAACATATACCTAGTAAATTGATTCTGATTTAAGTCTGACAACAAGAAAGAAATCATAATTAAGAAATATTAAGACACACATTTTAAAGCTTGTCTCATTGATTAATCTGTGATTTTTTTAAAAATTAAATAAAAATAAAAATTAAATCTTTGAGTAACTTATTAGGTCACTCCTCTGCCACATTACCAAAGCCCAGTGAGGAAACTGTCGATTCTCCATCACAGCACACAGCAGCTGTTGCTTCATCTCTGAATGTGTCTGTAACGTATGATTTTCAGTGATTAGAATCCATTATTTACATCTTTATAATGCAAAAAAAGAACGAAAGAGAAGAAAAAAAAAATGTTAAATACATTTTTAGAAAGTGTAGTGACTCTGAGAGAAGGTAAATATTGTGGCCAGGTAATTAAAAAACAAACAATCCCCCCTTCCTCCCAAAAAAACAAAACAGAACTAGCTTATTATCTTCACATTTCAACGTGAACCTTAACAGTTCCACCTCATTAGTTCCTGCTTCAGTGCCTAGTTAGGACTTTTGGTGCTAACAAGGTCAAAGTTTACAACAACTCACACACAGACTGAGGCGCCTGTTGCTCGCTCTCTGCTGTTCAACTACTACACCCTGGCTGTTACACTAAGTAGCTGAGATAATAATCTGGGTTGGGCTTTTCTGTACCTGTTGGCTGTAAAATAATCTTCGGCTGAAAAGTAGCAGACAAACCATTCCTCTCCCAGCAGGGGATAATAATGTATTGGACCAATTAGGGGCTGGAGGCCTGTGTCCACTGTACTGCAACAGCATGTTCCTGCAGAATGTTCCAACCATTACCTGACACAACGAGGTACTGTGTTCTCCAGCAGAGTCTGGTCACACCTGAGCACGGTGTTCTGGATTGACAGAAGCAGCTGTGGTGCCAAACAGACGTTTTATGAATGTTCAGGTTTCTCTCCTATTCAATACTTTGTCTCATGTTTGACCTGTTACTACAGACACGTGTCACACTGACATCACCGTTAATATCATTTCAAACTTTAGATTACAATTAAATCATTACAGGAGAATAATAGTTTATCTTTTTGAAATGCATAGGTTACTTAACAGTAATTTAGAAAATGAATAACTGAATCTAGAACTGTACCTGGACTGCTGTAGCTAACGTTTTGCTCTGGTGTCTGTACCACAACTGTTGTAGCTAACATTAGCTCTGGTGTCTGTACCAGGACTGTTGTAGCTAACATTAGCTGTGGTATCTGTGCTCATTTCATGATGCTGATACTGTGGACTTGAAGTGCTGCAGTGATAAGAAAAGTCATTGTTGAACAATTTACACACAAACGTGATCTTATCCAGTTGTATTTAACCTACTGGACTAAAATGTTTTCATCAGACTTCTGGTTGTGGCAAAAATGAAATAATTAAAAAAGATGTGGTCAACTGGGTTACAATTAAAAGCATTTTTCATTCTGTAATTCTGTTTTCAACCCAAGATTTATTAATTACTCAAATATTCACACTGCCTCATCTAACCCCATCACTAAAAAGTATATTTGCAAATTAGTTCCCAAACCCTGAATTTTCATTTCCAGTTCCTCCATCAGTGGAGTACGACTCTACACAACAGGGTCTGACATTTACCTTGGACAAGGACACAGACAATCAGGACTTTGTCCCGTATTTACTGCTTGGCGGTTTTTCCACAGCTGGAAGACAAAGTGTTTGTAAGAGTGCTGGGGCCTAAAACCAACATTCCATTTCATGCTCATCCTGCCATGATATTATTCACAAATCTCCTGCAGCTTCTACCCGATCCCCATCATATCACTTTCTCATCTGTGTCCCGATACAAAATTTAAAAATGAGTCTGGGGGGGCGTTTGGTTTTTCATCTGGGTGAAATAAAATTCAACAAAGACATTTAAGGACTTTTTTTTGACAGAAAGTCGTCGTCTCCGTCTTCTAATTATTTTTATTTTTGTTCCAATGCTATTCCAGCCTCTGCCCATATTTAGGGAATGATTAAAAGCTGACTCTCGTCTTTGCTACAGTAAGACACAGTGCAGTTGAAGAACAGTAACAGGCCAACGTTTCCTTTTCTTTAGTTTGCACACTTCCCTCTGCCACTTGGCTGCAGTTTCTGTTGGCCTCTCAGAAAAGCTCTGTGCCCTGGCATCAAAGCACAAACAGTTCCAGCTAAACACATAAAAGTTCTGAGAGAGGAATGGAGCGCCGGGAAGTTATGAAAATGATAACTGCCGCATTAAAAAGCCCCCGCGCCACACACAATTACTATAAGTCACTTTTATAACTCCTAATTAAGTCTGCCATAAATCCTGGCTGCATTTACATGTACTGTATGTACAGAGCCGTGAATCACTCAGCTCCTGTTGCCATCGCTCTGGCACGTCCCGTATGTGCAGGAAGAGGAG